TGCCCCGGCCAGTGTAGCCGAATCACGCCCATTGTCGCGAACAACTCAGACCATGCAACGCCCCCCACCTCGCATGGAAATGGACGACTTTGACGACATTCAAATCTACCGGCCGAAGCTCCGAGTAAATCGTCCCGAGGTGTACAACAAGGGTGGCAGTGACGGTCGGCGACGTCCTCCGTCTCGTATGCAGCGCCGTCGCCTGGAAGACAGCACGTCAAGCTCGGATTGGAGTGAGGATGATGCGCCGGAGGATGAGGACAGTGGCTTCTCCGGGAATTCGCGGTTCCGCTCAGACTACAACTATTCGAGAATAAGTCGTCTGCAGGAGGTCCGTCAGGGGTACGCCAGACCAAGTTCCGTTCCTCCCAGGCGATATCGTGTATTAAATTAGCGAGCCTTCAGTCTGTACAAAGACGAACATTTAAATCCTCCCCGCCCCTGCCCCCACCTCCCCAAAAACGTGATGTCCCAGATATCCTTACATTATTAAATACTTGCTTTCCTATTGCTCATTTAAAAACCTCTATGCTGTACCTAGGCCTGATAATAGTTTACAATTAAGCACATGCTTCTCAGACTTTTCTTATTAATAGTAAAAGATTGTTGGAATATCAGCAAACCCAATAGAATATCGATGTCACAACAATGTTTACTCTTAAAATGGCCACTAGAGTAGATGCATTATCTCACGAAATTTTAACAGAAATTATTAAAATGCGTTTCAGATTAAAATAAAATGGAAGATCTTTCTCGTGAAGCCACCAAATACTAACAGAAATTACCCGTATGGTTTTATGGGTCTAAATGCTTCCTTTATTAACCAATAGACCGCCTAACGATGAAAGGAGTTCTAATAGTTTTATTGGTGTATAGGCTGTTTTTAATAACTAGCAGTATTTTTGACTAATTTCTTTGGTCTGCAGGCTTCCTTTTCGTCAAGATTTTAAGTTAGGTAAAACAAATTATAAGCGTGTTTTATTTCATTCTACCTGTTCATTTTTCTCTCACCCAAAAAGCACTTGGTTTACTCATCCCTATAAATCTCCATTTCCACGAATTCAGTAAGACATTTGGGGGAAGGAATTTTTTTAAAGCGGCCACCTAAGAAAGCCTTACCGAACAATTACTTCAGTAGGGCTTGCAAGCTTAATTATCACGCAGCACCGTCCTCAGGTAGTTCAGTCATGTCAAGATGCTGTCTGTTGAATGGCTGCTTTCGGAAGGGGCGCTCTTTAAAATATAACTGCATTAGTGTTATACATGGCTTAGATCGATTTTAGAACACATTTTTTTCGAAAATATCCCAAAATGGTTCTTTCTTGGGAGTATTTGTTATCAGGGCACGTCTTCGTCAAACTGCTTACTTGAGCAAATAATATCTTCAGATTTTGAAAAACATTTTTTTTCCTGAATAATTTTCAACCCCGATTTAGTGTTATCTTTGCAATGAGAGTGTTCAAACTATACACTGTGAATGTTTTCTGTAAGGAAACCCGTATGCGCCTTTACGCTATTCAGGAGACCTCTTCTAAGGCTGATGACAATATCGTATACTTTAAAAGCAGCACCGATACCCTGGCAGGTGCGATAATTTACGAATGACGATTACAATTAGGAACTTCTAACAGTCAAAATCTACATTTTCCAAGTGTAAAGTTTGAAGTTGTTGCAAATTGCTAAGAAAACAGTATACCAAAGAATATGTATTGTGTACGTTTTCTACAAAATATATTGAAAAATTGCGTACTATTTAAGTACTCAATTTTTGTGCAAAGTGAATTTAAGGCAGTTAAACAAAAATAAACTCGTTCAGAAGCTGACATCCCGACGTGACTGTGGTATTTAGGGGTGATACTGCGAGATAATTAGTGTACACAACTATTGAAGGGGTCTAGCCTGAGTGAAAACGCCTTTGAGAATTTTGGTTAAAATTTTTATTGTAAAGTACATCCACTGTAATTAAAACGATCAAGCACTGTTTTTCCGGAATAAATTTGAACAAGTCAAAGACCAAGAAATAAACAGATTTTTTTGACGTCTTAGAACTTCATGACCTCCCATTACATTGCACCCGGCCATTGCCAATTAGCAAAAAAAAGATAAACAGTCCAATATAAATCGACCTAGAGGGGTGAAACCTGTTAGGTGAATAAAGCAGGAACTGTTGCTCGGATATGCTGAGGGAAAGAAAAGATGTGAAAGCATGTCTGGTTAGATTACAATGAAAGCCTGTCAAATGAAACAGCAGTCATTCACGTGGGGACAGGAGAGAGAGGGAATGAGGGTTATCTCTATTACCAAACATTATCTCAGCATGTTGAGGTTAATCACGTGATGAAAATGCCGACAGAGTACTGGTTTGCTTCGTATTGTAGCGGCCCCTGCGAAACGCAGGAGACACCCAGTCATGACCCGTAGTTTGATCATGTTTAAGACATACTCATACTTGGGAGGGAAGTAGATGCGCACCAGATTTTTTTGCACAAATATTTTGGCAAGCCTTTCTGGCCTGGGATGGTGATACATTTCGATGAATTTCCCGGATACTCGTTTCCAAGAGAAGCGTTCTCCAAGAAACTGAAGGCGTCATCGATCGTACCCCAGAAATATATTCTGGTGGCTCTATTGGCTCGGGCAAAGACCCAAGTTTCGTTTTCTCCGAATTCGGACAAAACTGAAGCAGTGCACGTACTGTCCTCTTTAGGCAGTTTTCCGATAAATGGACCTATGAATGGGACCATCTGCCCGTCTAAGCATAATAACTTCTAAGAGATCAGGCAATTCTCTGACGTCATCAATTACATTCGTATTCCATCGCCTTTGCCCCGTTTAAAACCATAAAGGTCAAATTGCGTTTAATGAGTAATCGTGAAATCGACAGAACGCAATAGTCGATAGTCTTATCACTTTACAGGTTAAAAAATAAACTTTAATTGCAATAAGGGTTCCCGTTGCTTTAAGAAATATTCAGGAAATGAAATAAACATAAATGATATGCTATAGACCCTAGGAATATTTTGAAATGCAAATACACACTTGGAGACAGTGTAAATTTTGAAGATTTTGCAAAATGCTACCAAAACAACATATCAAAGAATATTTATTGTGTACGTTTTCTACAAAATATATTGTGTACTATATAAGTACTCCTTTTTTATGCAGAGGGAATTGTAGCGTCCCCTGCAAAACACAAGGGACGCCCAGTCGTCACTCGGAGTTTGACCTTAAATGTAGTTAGTGGGTCTACCAGCAGGTGTTCCGTAATCGAACTCTTGGGTACTTTCTTTTCAGCCCGTAGCAGCCATTTCGGCATGTGCTCCGCTGACCAAGTTGCCAACTGCCTTTGCGTGTGCCCACCATACTTGCATCCGCATCTTCAGTGGAGCCTCGTGTGACGAGCAGTTCCATCTACGAGAACTTCAGGTAACGAGCGAGCCTCTCACGGAAAATTTGTTTGGATTGACGAACTTCCGCCGCTCAGTTAACAACTTGCCAGTGCCTGTGTCCGACGCTGAGCTTTGCTTCCAGGGCGTGGGCCCTCGGTTGCCTGCGGCCAATCAGTGAATTGATGCAGTTTGATTGGCTACGTTTTGCATGATGAGTTTTGCTGATGACGAGCTCGGTGCTAGAATGGATTAGACTAGTTAACCGGGGTTCTACTGTACATGTAAACTCCTAAATACAATTTGATGTGGGGTGAAAAGACAGAATGTCTTTAGTCTATCTAGCTGATATAGTTATTTTAATAGAAGGTAGGAAGACGCTCTCTGGGTCTCAGAGATCGTCTTTATGCCTTCTATTTAATTATCTATAAAGTCATCAATTGCGTCCGTATTCCATCGCCTTTGCCCCGTTTAAAACCATGAAGGTCAAACTGTGTTTAAAGAATAACCGTGAAATCGATAGACGCGTTTGTATTTATGTTGGTTATCACTTTTGGTTTTGGTATTTAGGGATAAAAACGCTTTTCACACATCCGTAGGTTTCGCTATACAAACTTTAATTTAAGGGTTAACTTGTATCAGCGAAATCGTTTAGGATAGCGTTTCACACTGGAGCAAAATGATGAAATTTCAGGCTCCGATAAACCTGTAATCCGCTACGCCAGCCGTTCACCACAATACTTGAAGTGTTTCGCGGTGTACTTATGGTTCAATCTCTCTCTCACTCTCTCTCAATGCCATGATTCAGTTCTTAAGCATAGTGAAGAAGCCATTGAAGCCCCACTCAACCAAGTGCACTAGTGATGCACTCTGTGTACACTTTGTGCAGGCATCTAGCAAGAGGCACAATAAAATGCCGGATTGTTGTTACACATAAATCAACTTCGAAATTTGGCTCTTAACCAAGCAATGTTGCAATTTGACTTTGGCATACATTTCCGTTTAGACGCTCGCCAAAACCTACCTTCAGCTTATTTTGACTTATGTCTTTGAGACCTCATCAGGGGACAACACCGCAGGCTCTCCACTGCCTACATCTCCCCTAGATCGGATATTTGCGTGTTTTTGTGGAAGGGTCCCCAAAAAAGGCCACGCGATAGGTACGCTTGATCAACTCGGGAGGGAGATCAAGGCACGGTAGGTTTTATTGGGGATGCGTAAGCATAACGACTGTCGCAAATGAAAGAAGAGGGTATGGTGGTCCGATCTGGCACAAACTTAAACCGTGCCCCATCCTGCGTCCGTTTTGCTGAACTCAGTCTTGACACTGGTAGATGAGAGAAGAGAGAAGAGTGAGTGCGGTAAATGCTTCGAAAGTCAACGTATATCCGTCTGGTATCATTCTGTTTTCTCACAGACGACTCCGAGGACTTTAAAGTAATTTCGCACGCAAGATACCGTCAGAAATTGTTGCACCATAGAACAGTCGCTGACTATCATTCAGCAACATAATGTGTAGCACCGTGGAGCAAGAGCTGACTATCAGGCAGCAACACCCCTGTATCACCGCGAAACAGTTGCTGACTATCATGCAGCGGCGGTAGCAATAACGACAACAATCCCAAAGCAAGGGCAGGTGACAGGAAGCTGTGAAGAGCCTGATCGAATCAACTGGCGACAAAGCTGATGTCTACTTCACAGGAGACATTTCCCTGAGTTCTACCTCAAGCCAATGGACGGCCGCACCGGAAAAGACCGCACACTCTTCTTCTCAAAGGGTGGAAGTGTTAGGTATCACCCTAATCGAATCAGCTGGCGGCAAAGCTGATGTCAAGGAGCAAACAAGCAGACAGCGAGCCACGCTCATGGCAGGCTATCGATTGGCCTACACGCGGCAAACAAAGCAGTCAGTCAGTCAATCAATTAGTTAACATTTAAAGCTGCGGCCAGACTACGAATCTGACATGCCAGCCGCTGAGTCACAAACCAATCGTGTCACCACTCGCTCCAGAGCCATATCTGATTGGTCCGATGGAGATAACTTTACACACT